ATCCACAAGTGATTTGATTCCTGATGGAAATGTCTTACGATCAGGTACCAGGTCTCCCTACACTTCCAAATCAAAACAATATGGAACATCGTATATTTATTGATAGAATATTTGAATGATTGAGATTTAAGTATTCTATTAAAACAAATCTTATCCAGATAGAAAATAAATTGTACATGTAATCATGTATAATATTCACACTTTCCTGCAAGATTAAACACTAAAGACAACTAACATACCCGCATATTAGAGGCATTTATGTTGAAAGAAACAAAATTTAGCCAACCTTCAAATTTCTTGTCACGGAAGACCAACAATCATCTTCACATTATAAATTTCAACATCAAATACACATGAAATAGATAACTTATAATGTCAAAATTTTCACATTGAACATATAAAATTAGTACCTATATTGACATAGTTATAACCTAACTCAACCAATCACGTCGATATCAGTGCATCAGTGAGAATAATATAATGTAAATTAGTACCGTAGAAATGAAATATTGAGGGGGAAAATTAAATTGCTGATATGCGAAACGAAAATAAAGTCAAGGTGTAAAACTGTTGATCTTTTTCAAATGCAAAATAAAATTTTGACTAGGGATAATGAAATTAACTTAAATGAAGTTAATAAAATATTTCATATTAGTCGTCATCATCACAATCCATGAATGGTTCATCAACTAGCAAGTATCAACTAAGCAGGAAAACAACACATGTTTCATTAATAACAATTTCATTTATATTGTATGCAAAGAATTCCAGTTGTTCCATCTACACAAAACACGAAATCAACATGTCACATAAATCATAAATTTCAAATGAGTTGATATTGATTTGATGAATTGAAAGGTAAAAGAGATAGAACAAACAAATAAACCCCATCTGAGGCATGAGAGCCAAACTATTATTGATCTGAAGAAGACCGTATGGTTAATTTTCTGGTTTTTGAATTTGTTAGAGATTAGCTACGACTTTAGCTACGGATTAACTACGAAAGTTTATGGGCCCCAGTATGTTCTTGACCTTAGCTAGGCGGCATGTCACGTCAACATCTTTAATAGCTGGCACTGCCACGTGTTAGTGCCACATCATCTATGTTAATTGATGTTAGCAGGAAGGACCAAAAGTGTGGGTGAAAAATTTTAGATGGACCATTCTTTGAAGGAAATATTTAGAGGGACTAAAAATGAAATCTGCTATATTTAGAGAGACCAAAAATATATTTAACTTTAGTTTCAAATATAGACAAATAATATGCATCAACTTTTAAGCATTGATCCAAGTAGTATTTTAAAAAACAATAGAAATATAGCTCAACAAATTATGAGAACATACTTATTATAAAGTTGAAAAGTTGAAAAAATATATCAAAGAAATATATTAGAGAAAAAGAAAAGAAATGTTGTTTACCAGCTAATACGCTTATTTGATACAATATATGCGCTTAGAGCTCGTGTGTTCATTTATAAAAATATTTGTAATTTATTTTCGTTTATAAAAATAATTGTATCAACAGTAGACTTTTTATGCTTATAAGAATATTTTTTTAACTTATTCCCGTTTATAAAAATAATTGTATCAACAATAGACTTTTCTTGTTCATAAAAAATATTTGTAATTTATTTCCGTTTATAAAAATAATTGTACCAACATTATACTTTTTCGCGTTTATAAAAATATTTGTAACTTAGTCCTGTTTATAAATATAATTGTATCAATAATAGACTTTTTCCGTTTATAAAAATATTTATAACTTATTCTCGTTTATAAAAATAATTGTATCAAAAGTAATTTTTTTCTAGTTTATAAGAATATTTATAACTTATCCCCGTTTATAAAAATAATCTTATCAACGGTAGACTTTTTCTTGTTTATAAAAATATTTCTAACTTATTTCCGTTTATAAAAATATTTGAATCAACAATTCGTTTTTAACCGTTTATAAAAATATTTATAACTTATTCCCGTTTATAAAAATAATTGTATTAACAATAGATTTTTTCCCGTTTATAAAAATATTTATAACTTATTCAAATTTATAAAAATAATTATAATTTATTCTCATTTATAAAAATAATTGTATCAACAATAGACTTTTTCAGTTTATAAAAATATCTGTAACTTATTTCTGTTTATAAAAATAATTGAATTAATAGTTGATTTTTTTTCCGTTTATAAAAAAATTGTATCGAAATAGACATTTTCTCATTTGTAAAAATATTTATAACTTATTTTCATTTATAAAAATAATTATAAATTATTCTTTTTTATAAAAATAATTATATCAATAATAGACTTTTTCCAGTTAATAAAATTATTTGTAACTTATTCCTGTTTATAAAAATAATTGAATTAACAGTTGAATTTGTCCCGTTTATAAAAATATTTATAACTTTCGTTTATAAAAATAATTTTAACTTATTCCCCATTTATAAATATAATTGTGTCAACAATAGACTTTTTTTTTTTGTTTATAAAAATAATTATAACTTATTCTCGTTTATAAAAATAATTGTATCACCAATAGACTTTTTCCCGTTTATAAAAATATAAATTATTCTCGTTTATAAAAATAATTGTATCAATGTGGAAATAATTTAAGACAATGAACATTATTATGATATTCTCACTTAATATGAGATGAAAATCACACCTCTAATATCTATGTTTCTTCCTTAAAATTTTTATGGCCAAAACTTTTTTAGATCAGTCCAAGACTTTTGGATCTCTCATAATTGACAATGCATACACAACGATCTGTGATTTTTTCAGTATGAAAAATTCTTCAAACGTGCAATCTTATGATGGTTGGTGTGGAATTAATAGGACACCTAGTTGTAAAAAAAAAAATAAGTTGATAATATGACACCTAGTTTTAAAAAAACACATAAGAACAAACAATAAATCTTCCTACCAACATAGTGGCTTTGATATTGGATCGTTCAATACGATATTCACATTCTTCAAAAAAGAACAATAACCATCGTGCACTTGCCAAGTAAAGAAAGGAAAATTTACCAACAAATAATATTGTAATGTACCCACATTTACATTTTCCATACACTCAACTTTATTTTTTCACTCATAGATAAATTGTCGTTCATAAACAATAATCACCAAAATGCAATAGAACACAATAACATATCGAAATGCACAATAAACAAAAACAACTATGATTTGATAGAATCTCATATTTTTATTTGCACTTCCAATATTCCTATATATTGTGCTTTTTCTTTCAAGCACATTTATATGTGTTAAAGAATATATCACACTATTTAACACGTAATGACAATATAAAGTGACAATTTTAACCCATTTACATATTGAAATGATGTCTTTTATATCATACACTTCTACACGCCACTTTGTTTTTGTCTTCAAGAATTATTTTGAATGCTAGCAAGCACTACTTGTCTCAACAGTTGACTTAGCTAGCCACAATAAGCCAGGATCATTCTGCTTGAACATCAAGTATGCATCTTCCTTTCCAAAATTGTCAAACATAGCATCCTCTCTAAAACCAACCAATGAGAGAATTTCCAAGGCCCCTGTAGCACAAAAAATAAGAGAAAGATAATAGCCCAATTTTGAGCATGTACAGAAATAACATGCCAATATGACATATGATTGCAAAAAAATTGTACACAGGAAACATGTTTCGTCTATATGACAGTTCTATACTAAAATCAAAAAGCAAGTCCAACGACAAAACATCAAGTTGTTTCATCGAATAACATCACCTACATAAAAAAAATAAAACAAAAACAATTCTCTCTGAGTCATGAATCTGCATCAAATATTTAAATTTTTACCAAAATAGCATTTCAATCTCTCTCTCTCTCTGACTCATGAATTAGTTTAGTCAACAATACATCATATATAGAAGAAAATGAGGAAAAAGTTAACAAACAATGAATAAAATAACATCATATCATATTATTTATAGAGTTAATAGACAATGAAATCAAACATATGCACCAAATTCCTTTGACCTATCAGTCTCAAGAAAATAGTTGTTCAAAAATTTCAATATAGTGCCTCAATTATGCATCACATATTTTTATCTCTTTTTTCTCTAAGTCTCACATGCTCATAACAATATTTTGTTCAACAACTGTACACATTATTCATATCCTCAAATAGCTAGCCCAGACAATAATCATTTGTCCAAGAGTTCCAAGTTCACTTTTAGGTTCAATATTTATAAGTTACACTATCTAGTGACATCAATCTTAAACTATCAATTCAATATTTGTAAAATGACTTGAAATCGTGCAAAAATAAACTTTTCACATAATGAAACTTTCTACATACAATTTCTCATTTATATATCATAATCATGTTCAAAATTGCCCTCATTTTCAATCTTCAAAGTAGTTGCAGCACTCATCATGTGACAATTGCTTCACTGAATTCCCCCACTCATCATTGTTGATCAAAGTAGTTGCATTCCCTAATAACCAAAAGCAATATTTGAACAAAATATGAACTCAGTTTTCGGTAAATATAGTAACAACAGAGCAAGATTAAAAATAATAGTATATAACATACCTAGTTCTAGTCATAGCCACAATGATGGTTGTCAATCGATAAAATTGAAACAATGAATACTATATTATACAAAATCTTAAAGAGGAAAGGGTGATATCATACTGTGTCAAACATATGTAGTAAAAAGAGGAAATGGCAATTTTGGGGCTCAAGTTTCAAAAATTGGCTATTTTTACCATCTTTTCAAACCCCGTCTCCAAGTCCTCAAGTGGTATAAATGTAGGTTGGCCAATCACCATCCCAAATCTTCACATAATCATAACTATGATCCATGTTCTTTCATCATTCAAGTCAAACATAACTAACATTAATTAATCAGAACATAAGTTACAAAACTTACTTGAAATATGACTCAATAAATGAATCTATTTCCCGCTTTCCCAGGAGTGTGATAACAACATTAAAACGTGAAATTTTTTTCCTTAAGTTATTGAACTATGCAGCCTTCAGTTTTCGTGAGTGTGATCTTAGCATTTTTTCTAGGTTCAGCTGGTCAAAATGAACTTGTAGCAGCTAACCCTTTCCATCCAAGTCCCCCCTTACTTCGCAATGGATTTTCTGGCAGAACAACCGATCATTTGGCAGCAGAAGCCACTGTAATTGAAGTATGGAAAGGTTAGTCTATATACAACAAATTTCTAAAATACATCCTCCAAAAGGTTAGTACATACATCAAATTTCCAATTCCCCATTTATTCCCAAATTGATGTTTCAAATAAAAAATATTGCAATGTCATGACACTCCTATTGAATAACTCAACAAAGAAAATTTCTCATTCTCACTTTCAAATACTTTTGTCAAACACAAAGAAATGACACATAAACGTGAGTCAAATTCAGCCGAGTTATAATGTCTTAATAACTAAACTTATCGACAATATTGAATAGTAGCAGACACCAATTTATAAGAAAAAGATGTTTGGAAATCATTTTTTGTCCTAAAAAATTTGAAATGATTGTCAAGAAGAAGAAAACATTATCCATACCTGATGTCAAAAATCAATAAGTATGTGTGGTATGCAAATGAGAAACTAAATGGTTTTCCACTGATATTCCAGATCCGTGATATCAGGGTTAGGTCTTCGCTTGTCGTAAGAGACATGCAAAGACAAAACTCAAAACTGATACAATTGCGTAACCGTTAGCTTATTGCAGCTTGAAATTTACTTCCAACACACATGGAAAAGCAATATTAGATATATGAGTTATGTTTTTATGACATTCAAGATAATAATACATGTGTGGCTAGCATTTCACATATTTTTCTGATGATTTGAGTAGCAGTTTGAAAGATATTCCACGGGAATCATTTGGAGGCAAAGGAGGAGGATTCTCATCAATGACTCATATTTTGTACATTGACATATATTTTGATATTGAAACAAATCAAACATTAGAGAGATAAAACCTTAAATACAATGGAAATGGGCGAGAGGTAGGTACCAGTGAGAGTGACAAAAAGGTTGTAAGAGAAGAAGAACAATTTTTGTAAACTTAATCTACGATGACGATGGAAGTTGATGACAAAGAGTGAAGAGCATTGCAAGTATGACTGAGGATCGATTGGCTCATTGCCACAACTCCGAAAATAAAACTTAGGTCAGTGGTAATTTTTTTGTGATATAGTCTATAATTTTTTCTTAAATTTGTTATAATTTAATATCTATCGATACACTTTAGAACTAATGTGATATTAATAGTGTCATTTCAAACTCTAATATGTCTTTTGAGTATTTTATATATGAAGAAGAATAAAAATTCAAAATGATATTGAAATTATGAGATGTTGAAAATTCACAACTTTAAAAATTTCAATTAACATAAAATGTATTTTAAAATGAAGATATCAGTCGAAATTAATGTTAAAACTTCTATAAATTAAAAAATTTACGTAGTTCAAATTATTTTTAAAATTAAATTAAAATTTTTTTAATAGTAATTTATAAAATATATATTTTTAATAGATAAATATTAGATTAATTTTACTTTTTAAAAAATTTGAATCACCAACTAAAAATCAGTGCAACCGGAGCCAAAAACAAAATGGAATAAAGATTAAAACAGATAAGCTCTATTTTATTTTTTATAGTTAATTTATCATTGAGTTCAGAGTTGTATTCTATTTATAAACAATAAAGTACACGTGTTAAAAATTTGCACATTTTATTATTTCCAAAAAACCAAACATCGTTTTTCAAAATGATGAGTACTATAAAATTGGTTCATATCTGTATCAGTACTGTACTCTATGTAGCTTAGCCCCACCCAAATAGGGAGCAACAAAACAAGAGTAGAGTAGTAGTGTTTTTGATCCACTTCCTACATCCTGGACCCCACTAACATTCATCCAAAATCCTATAGTCTGACAATACCATTATATCTTGCCTCTACTTGTAGGACCTGCCACGTGGGACTAATATCTCCTCCTTCATTAAATTAAAAGAATACATATATAAACCAAAAGATTAATAAGAATAATTTGGTAAAAATATCAAAAAGTCATAATTTTTTTTAATTATAAATATAAATAGATGAGTATTGGTAAAAAAAGTTAGATATATATTTTTAAAAATAAAAAATTTGAAACAATATTTTAGGTATTATGCCATTTGGCATTGACCGGGGAAATGAAGTCGAATCCAGCTAGAAAAACCGTGTTCCAAGATTTTCCTTAAAAAAACACAATGCACTTAACCTAACTAACGAAGAAAATGAAAAAAGAAGCACAAAATTTCTCTACGAAAAATCTGCAAAAATCACATTTATAAAAAAAAAAAAAAGAGTACCGGAAATTTCTGGGAATTGCTTTGCTTCGCTTCGAACTCATGAACAAGAAAAGTGACTCAGTTCACACTCGCGCTTAACTCCACGCGCCCCCTTTCTCTTTCACACACTCTCTCTCTACGGAATTTCTCTCTCTAGACTTTGTCTTCTCTTCGAATCTGCAAATCACGTAATTAGGCTTCTTCTGTCGTCGTTTTCTCTTTCTCGCCGTCCAAGCTACTCTCTTTCGTCTCAGGTTCCAATTTGTCTTCTATTTATCGTTTTTCTTCATAGTGCATTCTCTTTGATACTTTCGCCTCTAAGAATTATTGTTGTCGTTTTCAGTTGAATTTCAAGGTTTGAATCTTCGATTTTGAATCTGCATTTTTGATATTGTGCACTGAAGGTGTTTGTTTCTTTAAGTTCTTGATATGTGTGAGTTTGGTTGTTCTTCAATTTGATTTTGTTTAAACGATTTTTCAGTTGTTATTTCTGGAATGAAACATTGGATCAGAAGATCGATCTCCGTTTAGCTTTGGTTTCCTCTTCATTTTCAGTTTTTTGTTTTTTTTGTGATGAACTTTGAATTACTGTTCTGATATCATGTTTTTCAGTTTTCGGTTATGTTCAATCTGACATTTTGCTGATTTTGTGTTAATTAGTATGCATTAAATGATTTATGGTGTTTATGTACTGTCTGCAGTTAATGATTTCCGTTTGTGTTTTTTGGTCAGGTTTTAGAAAAAAACAAAGTTTGGGATAAAAGGGGCGTTTGATTTTTCCTAGAGGGATATTTACGTTTTTTTTCTTGGTAGAAGGTTGTGTGAGCTGTAAACTAACTGTCTTGAGCTGATATCTGGAGCTGAGATGGCACGGGGGAGGAAGATTAGGGCTAGGCTTCGCAGGAGTAATTTTTATACATTTGGTTGTCTTAGGCCGACTACGGCTGAGGAGGTGCCTCATCCACTTCAGGGTCCTGGTTACTCGAGAACCGTGTATTGCAACCAGCCTCAAGTTCATGAAAAGAAGAATCTATTTTACTGCAAGAATAATATATCTACGACCAAATACAATGCTATCATGTTTTTACCTAAGGCACTGTTTGAACAGTTTCGAAGGGTTGCTAACATATACTTCCTTTTGGCTGCTTGTCTCTCGGCGTCTCCAATTTCACCTTTCACTTCGGTGAGTATGATTGCTCCTTTGGCTTTTGTTGTGGGGCTTAGTATGGCGAAGGAAGCATTGGAGGATTCACGCAGGTTCCTTCAAGATGTCAAGGTTAATCGCCGGAAAGCTAGTCTTCATAGAGGTAATGGTGTTTTTGGTCTCAGATCATGGCAGAAAATTATGGTTGGAGATATAGTAAAAGTAGAAAAGGATCAGTTTTTTCCAGCTGACTTGCTTCTCTTGTCTTCAAGCTATGATGAGGATGGGATATGCTATGTCGAGACCATGAATTTAGACGGAGAGACCAACTTGAAGGTGAAAAGATCTTTGGAGGCTACCTTGTCCCTTGATAACGATGGAGCTTTTAAGGATTTCTCCGGAACAATTCGTTGTGAAGACCCGAATCCCAATCTGTACACTTTTGTTGGGAATTTTGAATATGAACGTCAGGTTTATCCTCTTGATCCTGGTCATATTCTCCTCCGAGATTCAAAGCTTAGGAACACTGATTATGTCTATGGGGTGGTCATTTTCACTGGCCACGACAGCAAAGTCATGCAGAATTCTACAAAATCCCCTTCAAAAAGAAGCACAATAGAGAAAAAGATGGATTATATCATATACACTCTTTTCACTGTCCTTATATTGATATCCTTTATTAGTTCAATAGGATTTGTTGCTAAGACGAAGTACCAGACCACAGAGTGGTGGTATCTACGGCCTGATAATATTGAATATCAGTATGATCCTGCGAAAATTGGATTGGCTGGGATGAGCCATCTGATCACTGCACTTATTCTCTATGGATATTTGATACCCATCTCTCTTTATGTTTCAATTGAGATTGTGAAGGTATTACAGGCCACCTTCATTAACCAAGACCTTCAAATGTATGATGAAGAAACTGGGACTCCTGCTGAAGCACGGACGTCAAATTTGAATGAAGAGTTGGGTCAGGTAGACACCATCCTTTCTGATAAAACTGGCACTTTAACCTGCAATCAGATGGACTTTTTGAAGTGCTCCATTGCTGGTACTTCCTATGGTGTACGTTCCAGTGAAGTTGAACTAGCTGCAGCGAAGCAGATGGCTTCTGATCTTGAGGAGGAAGACATGGATCTCTCTAATTTCCCCATGCATAACAAGGGTAAAGTGCCGCGGGAAAATGTTAGAAGAGCTGAAGAAATTGAACTTGAGCCAGTTGTTACTTCTAAGGGTGGTGAGGATCAAAGGCCTACCATAAAGGGATTTGGTTTTGTTGACAGCCGCCTCATGAATGGAAATTGGTTGGAAGACCCCAATGCTCATGTCATTTCGTTGTTTTTCCGGATACTGGCAGTTTGCCATACTGCCATTCCTGAGTTTAACGAGGAGAGTGACAGTTGGACTTATGAAGCTGAGTCACCTGATGAAGGGGCTTTTCTTATAGCTGCTAGAGAGTTTGGTTTTGAATTTTATAGAAGAACCCAATCGAGTGTTGCTGTACGCGAAATAATTTCTGCTTCAGGACACCTGGTTGAAAGGTGAGGTGGAGATTCATGAACTGTATTTCTTTTTTTTTGGGGGGGATACTTACTTACTTTGACTTTCTTGGCTTTTTTATCCGTATGTTTGATTATTTTTGTGTTTTTGTTGAATTATACAGAGAGTATAAAATATTGAATCTGCTGGATTTTAGTAGCAAAAGAAAGCGTATGTCAGTGATTGTACGTGATGAGGAGGGAAGCATTACTCTTTTATGCAAAGGAGCTGACAGGTTAGCCTAATAATGTGATTTCTTTCTATTCTGTCAGCTGAGCGTATGAGGTTAAGGATCAAGTAAGACCTTCTACTGGTTTCAACAGCAAAACTAAAATCCTCTTCAAACTTGTGGTCTTTATATTATACTTACTATAGTCTATATAATTACAGCAACTCTCTGCTTCCAAAGAAGAGCTTGCATTAATACAAAAGTTGTTATAGAGAGGCTTTTAGCTTTCCTCTCTAAACTTGGACATTCATTATTTTCTGGTTGTGCAGTATCATATTTGATCGATTATCTAAGAATGGAAAGAAGTATTTGGAGGCTACTTCTAGACATTTGACTGAATATGGAGAAGTGGGTTTGAGAACACTAGCCCTGGCTTACAGAAATCTTGATGAACAAGAATATTCTGATTGGAACAACGAGTTTCAGAAAGCCAAGACAACTGTTGGGCCTGACAGAGAGGCAATGCTTGAGAGGCTATCAGATAGTGTTGAAAGAGAGTTGATTCTTGTTGGGGCTACTGCCGTGGAAGACAAGCTGCAGAAAGGGGTAGGCTTTATCATTATTTATGGTCTATATATAGTGCTGCTTTCCTATAATTTTATCATGTTCAATGTTTTTTCCTTCTTAGGTGCCGCAATGCATTGATAAACTTGCTCAAGCTGGGCTAAAGATCTGGGTCTTGACTGGGGATAAGATGGAAACTGCAATCAATATTGGGTATGCCTACTGCAAGTTATTTAACTTCATAATACTATCTGCATTTTCAATTTTAAGCTTTAAGTTACTAAATTTAAATGTGTTTGATAATTGTTTGTTTTTCAACGGTGCAGGTATTCATGTAGTTTGCTTCGACAGGGTATGAAGCAAATATGTATCTCTACTGCAAATTCAGATTCAGTAATCAATGATGGGAAAGAGGTATTCATTTCACTAATATTGAGTAGAAATTTTTACTATTTAGACATGAATTTCATCTAATGTTAGGCATACCTCTCAGGTAATCAAAGGCAACATCCTGACTCAAATCACCAATGCCTCACAATTGATGAAGCTGGAGAAGGACCCACATGCTGCGCATGCATTAATTATTGACGGAAAAACTCTAACATATGCTTTAGAAGATGATATCAAACACCAGTTTTTGGCATTAGCTGTTGATTGTGCGTCTGTTATTTGCTGTCGTGTATCTCCCAAGCAAAAGGCCTTGGTAGAACCATTTTTCTTTGTATCATTCTGGTTTCTATTTTTTTTTTTACTACATTTCATTAGTTGATCACTATAAACGATGCTTCTTATCTAAGTTGTCAAACTTGAGAGTCTAGGTAAACTCGTGTAGTCTCCGTAGATTTGATTTGTAAAAGTTTACCCAATATTGAAAAAGCCTATATATGACATATAGATGAAGTAATTATCATAAAAATAGCAATAATTCAACATTTCAACTCGAGAGTTTAACGACCCTACTACTACTTACACAATTATTGGAGTAACAATTGTACACTACTGCATTCATGGCTCTATGTTGATGTTACTGTTTGTTCGCGTCTTCATCCCTCAATCTTTTGGCAACAGGTAACAAGGTTAGTGAAAGAAGGAACTGGGAAGACCACTTTAGCAATAGGTGATGGTGCAAATGATGTCGGCATGATTCAAGAAGCTGACATTGGTGTTGGAATCAGTGGGGTTGAAGGTATGCAGGTCAGTATCAAGCTCTTTAAACATAATTATGAAACACAATTGCAAATGGGGGGTTTTAACATCTATGTTTTCTAGTTGCAACGCCAAATACTTACTTCATAGTTATAAAATAAACCAAATTTTGGTTTCATATTTTCCTTGAGAATTTAAAAAAAGAAAGAATGGGGATAGTGACAAGGAAATCGATCATATTTACATGTTTGGATGCTGGAAGATTTATTGTAAGCCTTTTTGGTGACGATCTTGTTATCAGTACTGATATTGCAATAGAGAAGTGAATCTTTGCTTTCTTAATCATTCATTTTACTTTCATATACCTTAATCTTTTTATAAAATGACATAAGCAGAAAAGTTGAAGCTTCTCTTTTTTGATTGTTCTAAGTTCTGACTTCCTTATATTCTTGTACTGCACATAACTATATCAGAAGCATCCGGTTTAAATTTAGCATTTACTTATTTCTGATTTAATATGGACAGCACTATTGTGCAACTTATCTGCTGTCCATTATGCGTGCTCTTTTTGGAGGCACTATTACATAAAGTCATGAATGTTAAAAGAAGACTCTGTTTATGTTATTAATTCTGACAGTGATTTATCATATGTTTAATGGAATATCTTCTAGCTTGTTCGGTCCGATTCATAGTTTTTGCCTTGAATGTGGGCTATTTAGAAATTGTCAGCTGATCAATGTTTAAATTTGGATGCTTCTGTTCATGTGAAATAGTGCAAATTCTAATAGACTAACTTGTTGATTGGAGTTCATGTTCACTTTATCAATCATGAAGAACTATTTAATTAAAAACTTGTTAATTTTTACTATCATCTCTAAACTCAAGAAAGCACTTGTATTTTCCTATGTGGAAGCATGTCACATTTGTGGAAGTTATAGAACTCAAGCTGGCAAATTATTTTCAGGCAGTGATGGCTAGTGACTTTTCTATTGCTCAATTTCGGTTTTTGGAGCGGCTTCTGGTAGTCCATGGACACTGGTGTTACAAGAGAATTGCACAAATGGTAAGTGGTATATTCAGCTTGAATCTTGATTGTTATTCTCAGATTTTGAATGTCTTCCATGCTTGTGCTGCCCATCCTGTGCAGGGACAGAAATGCATGTGACATTTTTTTGCATTCGGTATCTTTTATCCCATATTTCCCTTCTAAACTGTTTTTTTTTTTTGCATTCCAGATATGTTACTTCTTCTACAAAAATATAGCATTTGGCCTCACCATATTCTATTTTGAGGCCTTTGCGGGCTTCTCTGGTCAATCGGTTTATGATGATTGGTACATGATATTGTTTAATGTAGTCCTTACATCGTTGCCCGTAATTTCACTTGGAGTTTTTGAACAAGATGTTCCATCAGAAGTTTGCTTACAGGTTTGTTCTCTTGAAATGCCTTACGGGTTTCATATTTTCATCCATGTTTAGATAATTCAACCTCTGACCCACTAGTTCTATGCAGTTTCCTGCATTATATCAGCAAGGACCCAAAAATTTGTTCTTTGACTGGTATAGAATACTTGGATGGATGGGGAATGGTCTATACTCCTCGCTCGTCATCTTCTTCCTTGTTATCTTCATCTTCTATGACCAAGCATTCCGCCTGAATGGCCAGACTGCAGACATGGCTACTGTTGGTACCGTAATGTTCACCAGCATCATCTGGGCTGTCAACTGCCAGATTGCCTTGACAATGAGCCATTTTACATGGATACAACACCTCTTTGTGTGGGGAAGCATTGCCAGTTGGTACCTCTTTCTCTTTTTATATGGCCTGCTTCCTCCACGACATTCCCACTCTGCGTACCAAATATTGGTTGAAGTGCTTGCTCCTGCTCCTATTTATTGGACAGCAACCATTTTAGTAACAGTTGCGTGCAATCTTCCTTATCTTGCCCACATATCATTTCAAAGGTGTTTTAATCCCATGGATCATCACATTATCCAAGAAATCAAGTACTATAAGAAGGACATTGAAGATCAACACATGTGGACGAGGGAGCGGTCTAAAGCAAGACAAGAAACAAAGATTGGATTCTCTGCAAGAGTGGAAGCAAAGATCAGGCAGCTGAGAGGGAGGCTGCAGAAGAAGCAATATTCAACGGGGGCGTCGCCATCATGACCGTTACAAAATGGTTATTTAATAGGTTTTTATCTTTGTAGGGTTTGCGGGTTGTTTTTTTGTTTTTTTGCTCTAGCCTCATTCAAATTCTTTTTACATGCTTGTGTTGTTTGCTTTAGGGGTTGCATTGAAGTCCCTTTCTTTAAGGAAAAAAAAACATGTGAGCCATTGTAACATATTTAAGTAGAAGAGCTCACCACATTAGTCAATTATGAACAATCAAAGTGTAATTTACATATATCAACAGATGGTTACAATTCAAGCAATATTGAAGAAACAAAAGCAGGTATACAGTGTAACTACTAACTACTAATTCGTGGTATATGTTTTTGGATGAGATGTGAGAGGGAATCTGTTAAAGCAATTCTGTCTTTTATAAGGGAATTGAAGGATTTTGATGTTCTCATGCCATTTTCTGTTGTGAAATATGAACCACCAATATTAGTGTATTAACACCTTTGGATGTCGATGAAGAGAAAAATACAAACATAATTTTGACATAGCTTAAACATGTTATCAGTTAACATCACAAATATATTTGAATTGTTCTTGAACTTAAGAATTGTTAGATCTCTAGGTGAATCAATTTATCAATTTTTAGTAAGAGTGTTGAGCAATAATTATTTGAGAATATCAGTTGTACTGATAACTGACACAAGTTAGTTCATGGCTATTGCTACAGCAGGTCACACACTATGCTCCTATATTATATAAGCAAGTGTTGTAACAGCTTTTACATTTTATTTAGATCAATAAAATTCAGTTACAATGGATCTAATAATCCATAGAATAGTTTTTAACATTGTATAAGTTAGCCGAGTTTGATCACTGATCTCACTCTCCCACTGCAGCCTTAACCACCACTGCAGTCGCAAAACTCAGGTGTGTCACTGCATTTGCAAGCTTCTTCCAAAATGAATTCTTCCTCCTCGCACTTCTCTCTGAAAATCCGAACTGTATTCTTCCTCTCTGCTCTAAAATTTTTAGAAAAATTGATTGAAGAAAGCTTTTATGACATGAACAAGTTAATCCATACGTCAACACTAATCTTACATAATTGTTTTTATTTACCGTGGAGAAACTTATTCATGTAATCTAATATTAACCTTTTGAAATTGTTTTTATTTTCAGAAGAAAATTAATACAACAGTTATGGACAATCAGAATATGCAAACTCCCTTTCAAAGCAATCTGGTTTGACAGTAAGCCGACATCATCAGATTTCACGCTATTGTAATTTTGATCTCACAATGTAATTCTGATCTAACAATTGTAATTTTAATCTTGAAAAATTATTGTTTTTTAAGTTATTTAAAATGGGGTTAAAAACCCTTGCAATTCGTCTATTTTTTTTTTAGTGTTGATTTTAGTTGACGTGGCATGTCATGTAAGTCTTCGTTAGTGAAATTTAACAGGAGGGATAAAAAATAAAGACATATAATATTGCGAGGACCATTGTTTGAAGAAAATTTTTATAAAGACTAAAATTGAAGGTTGTCATATTTATAGAGACTTCTGACATATTTAAGCTTATTTATTTCTCTTTGTAAACATAATATGTAATTAATTATATAGTACATTGAGAAAATTTCGTATTTCTATTTTTCACATGGCATTAAAGCTCTTAATCTAGGGGACTCTATTCCCGCTAATCATTACTTAGAAATTTGACTGGGCATTTTTATGTTGTCAGAACCCTAAAATCTTGATTGAACAACTCATGTTGTCAAGTTTTTCGAATTTAGCAATGTTCTTTTTGGCAGCCATTTGTACAATTTCGTATTTCTTTCGGTAGTTGTATGTCCAGCCGCTGTCTGTACACTTTCTGGAAGCCATTCGTACAATTTTTTGCCACTGTCGGTACAACTATGCACATTTTTCAGCAGCCAACTGCACAATACAAGACACTGTCCCTACATTTTTGGGTTGATTTCTTCATCGAATCTTGTTTTCTTTATTATCTTATACATAAATATTTGGTGGATCCTTCTATTTCCTTTATGTCCAATCGTGTGAAAAAGTCACCAGGTAATTGCAGTGTGGCATATTCTGGTAAGATTCCACTCTTATTTGAATTTCATATCTAAGAAGAACCTTCTTACTTATTTTGGATATTAGATTCAGGAGTCACATACCACATGATACCCTTTTCGAAACAGCTCTCCACATATTCCCCTTGTCTCAGTAATAAAAAAAACTCTACTGCAGATGGTACTCTTGTAACTATAGTTGGCATTGTAGATATCCATGTTCCAAAACTATCCATGGACCTTGTCTCTATACAAAAACGTACAAATAATTTATCCTGTAGTGTGATTTTTCATAATGATTGTTGTATATTTCAGGATAAGGAGTCGGAAAAGACGTTTGGACGTGCTAGCGAGAGGAATAGTCTTTACTATCTTGAAGAACCAAGCCAGGATACAAAAGTCCACTTGTCCCACTCATTTATGTCAGAGTTAAAACTTTCTAAAAAGGAAAAAGGTCTTTCTTTTTCATTGTCGATTATGTCATCCTTCTTTTGGAGTTATTAAAATTCTGTTTCCATCTTTATTCAATAAGGTAGATATTGAAAGTCTTCATTGTAATTGTGTGAGTTTGTTAAACATAAGCGTTTACCTTTTCCATTGAACAACAAAAGAAACCTTCCACTCTTCTATCTTATGAAGGTGGAGAAAAACACAAGAAATGAGGGGTTTGAATTGTGTTGATAGAAACTTATTCTCTTTCTAAAGAGTTTGCAGAAGCCTTTGATCATGTAGAAACTAATAGCGGTAAAGAACACATTCATTTTTATACAAGTTCACCTTCTCAACTAAGGTTACATCTTGTCCACACTCCTCAGGTGATTTTGCCTTAGAAAAGGATTTAATCCACTAATCTTGACATATTACAACAACCTCTAAGAGTCTAGAAAGACCTCTTAGCCCTCTCAAGTATACAGATTAGAAAGTCACTTGAGGAAACACCAATTCTAGAAAGAATTGTTTTTCTGGAGATTTACATGAGTGCTTCTTATCAACAGATTTCTCCTATTTAGAGTACATATTGTTTTGACAAACTTTTGAGCAACAACTCCATTTTCTAAAACAATTTATATGAAGGTTTCTAAGAGATAACACAATCAGAGCTATAACTCTTATGTTTTACATGTTTATACAAGATTGAATATTATGGAGATTAAGTGCAAAATGTCTCGTAGTCTTCTTATCTTCATCTTCTTTGTTAATCAAGCTAAACAAATAACTTCTTTCTTCTTTTCTAGTTTCTCTTGAGATACATTTTAATCTATATTTTGAATGACATCTTATTGAGATCTTCATCTTCTTTTCTTCAATGATCAAGACACGAGTATTGCCTCATGTTTCTTATTGCTCTTTGATCCTTCATTCTTTTTGTTGTTGTGATGTTTTTCTTGTAAGATTGACAACCTTTCTGGAACTAAGTTGTGATGAACACGATGCTTCTTAGTAAGCTGTTAACACTTTAATATGTTTAATGAAATATTACACTATAGAGCAACAACTCAGTGTAAATATTGCATTTCAAAGTGATACTACTTTGTTCTTGTAAAATTCTTGGTGTTGTTCAACTACACAACCACACATATACAAAGTTGCTTTATATAGGCTTGAGAGAATAGTACCGTTGGAGCATATAATGCATTATAACGTGTATTTTGCAGTTTGATATGTTTTCAATGCAAATCTATCTTTTGTAATAATTACTATGTAGGAGACGTGATTTCTTCTTTTTATTTATCCAAGATATAGCTGAGAATTATCATCATTGTTTTCCTCGAAAGCCATGACCATTGTCAGTTCTGATTAGAGCACTACTGAAGATATATATGGACTTTTCTTATCTTTGTTTAGCTTGTTTCTGTATAGAACTTGATTTCTCCTAAAGATGTTATTTCTGTTTCTGGAGTACTGAGCTTGAGACTTATTGCTTGTCTTTGTTCTTCTGATGAGTAGTTCAGAAACTACTTAATTATGTAGCATAGAGACACTAGATTGAATGTGTAATTATTCCTTGAAAGTATGTTGTATTTCTGATCAGTGAGATGAATGTGTTGAGAATGTATTATTCCAGCTTCTTTATATTTTTTATTCTTTATCTATTTTGGTCAAGGTGTTAGAATCTTTCTGATGGACAATCATGTCTTCAGATGTATAGGCAACAACTTATTTGAGAGACAACTTCAGTTGTAGAAGCTTTTTGATTCTTGTATATTCATCTTTCTAAACTTGTATTAGAAGCTTTCTAATTCTTGTAACTTCAGCTTTCTGAAATTGTATGTGCGCAAGCTCTTTTATAGAATGTTTCTTGTTATTAGATCTGCACACTCAATAAAACCATTAGTAGTACTAAAATTATTACTCACAAAATATATAGTTTTTATCATCAAAACAAATAATTGCTTAGAAATCTTCTTGCTCTAACAATCTCCTCCTTTTTTACGATGACAAAAAAATATGTATTTTGATGAAACAATTTTACTGGCATAAAAGTATAAACAGAGTTAACTTTCCCTGAGCTCCTCCAGAGTTGGGTAGCTCCCCCTGGGAACAATAATCTTATGATTAAGGATAATAAACCTTATGTTGTACCGTAAAATTTTCCCTCCCATTTTTTTTCAAAACATTCTTTTAAGGCTCTTCAAATATCCAAGAATCTCAAGGGATGACTAGTCAAGACGCACCTCCTAAACCAAAGGTCTATAACTAGGGTTTGTAGTTTCTAAAGGAAATTTGATTTGAAAAGGTATCAAGTGGCTTCCATGGTTCTTCATAGGTCCTCAACAAGTTCCATGTCAAGTTTCAAGCCCTACATCAAAAGTTTGCTCAATCAATGACTCAGATGATTGAAAATCAATTGTATTAGTCAAAAAGTCAATTGTGATCAACATACAGTCAAACTTCAAGATTTTTGATCAACATCAACATTTTTAAGTGATATTCATCATTTGATCAAGGTTTGATCATGATTCCTCAAGG